GAAGGAGTACCACACTTTCACATTTGAATAAAAGGTACTTTAAGGAACACTTCAAAATATATTGATATGTACTTTATATTTATTAATCTTAATAAATTTACTAGCAAAAAAATAAATAAATATTCTGAATCTTTTTTTTTCCCTACAGATCTCTATATGTTAGTGATAGTAAAGGAAAACCAGTCAGATTTCCTTACAGTGCTATATATATCATGGCATGCATATTATAGTAAATGATGTTTATATAAAATCAACTGTAAGTGGGGAGGGTGTTGCTCAGTGGTAGAATGTGTGCTTAGCATGCATGAGGTCCTGGTTCATCATCCCAGTACCTCCATTAAATAAATGAATGAATGAATGCATGCCTAGTTACCTCCCCCCAAAAAATAAAAAAAAATTTTTTTAACTTTTAAATACTAAGATCAACTGTAAAGTTTATACTATGTTCATCTTGGTGTATGGATTCTTTGTCTTCATTTATTTCTTTTGAACATTTAAAATATATTTATGTTCAAGATCCTTTTACATTATTAGGTAATTTCTGATTTCTTAGAAATAAATTCCTTTGTTTATTGTAGCTACCAGTTGTTTTCCTCGGTGGTGGGCAAGTGTGTATAGTGAACTCTTCAGTTTGTCTTCAGTGAGTGCCCTGTGTTACGGATAAGTTCTTAACCCTGTTTTTGCGGTTGTCACTACTAGGGCCCCATGGAGCTTGCCCATCACAGCTCAGGTAGTATAAATACAGTTGTCCCTCCATGTCTGTGAGGAATCGGTTCCAGGACCCCCCCAGATACCAAAATCTACAGATGCTTAGGTCCCTTATATAAAATGACTTATATACATCCTCCTGTATACTTTTACTTTAAAAGTGTACTTTTAATCATCTCTAGATTACTTACAATACCTAATACAGTGCTATATGAATGGCTGTAAATAAAATGTAAATGCTATGTAAATAGCTGATGATGCGTGACAATTTCAAGGTTTGCATTTTGCAACTTCCTGGATTTTTTCCTGAATATTTTTCTTCTAAGTGTGGTTGAATCCATGGATATGGAACCCTCAGATACAAATACTCTATGGGCCTAATCGTTCTCTAGTGATTTCTGTAGCCCAAGTAGTATATATACATATGGGCCTGATTTTTCTGTAGTGATTTTGTAGCCTGAGGAAATAGCCTCACTTCTTGCTGTACTCCTGGACAAGTTAGCAGAGATTTTCCTGTTTCTGTATACAGGCAGTGCTCTGTATTTCTGGTTCACTACTTCATTTAGGAAACCCAATTTTAGTTCCTGATTATAAACACTCTAAACTCCAGCCTCTAAGACAGAGTATTTGCTTCTAGCAGCCCATGGAGTTAACTTTAATTCCTACTCTCCATTTTGGCTCTGAGTGCGTTCCCTCTTCATTTCTGGCACCTGAAAATTTTTCTTATTTCAAGTGTAATGATACAGTTTTAAAATTTATCTTTTTTTTTCCCTTAAGATTATATCAAACACTTCTATATTTATAGCAAGAGGGAGAAATTTCTGTATTTTTGTATCTTCACTGAAAGTCATAGGTGGTTATCTTTACAGGGTTAACATAATTCAGAATGTTCCCCAAGTCCTTATACTCATATGTGCAGAAGTTGACTTAATGTAGGTATTCAGGTGCACTTACATGCTGTACATAAATTACATTTTCCAGTAGTTACATACCCATAACTACATGTATAAATATTTTCAATTTAGTTGTTTAATCTTGTATCTTCATAAATTATAATACTACGCAAAGTGAGATATCTTAGCATATTAGAATTTAAAAGTTGGAAGGGACACAGTTCATAAAGGCATAGAGTATTAAGCTCACAGTTGTGAAATCATTTAATTGCTTAAGCTAAGTGAAATTGATGAAACTATCATTTTATGCAATCTTTTCTGTACCTTAAGTTTATTAATATCAGAAAGGTTCTATCTAAATATGAGTCATCTTTCAGCATGTTTAACTTACTGCTTTGATATACAGTTTTGAATTCTACTGTCAATAACTGACTATATCTTTGAGCTTAAATGTGATATTTGCAAAAAGAAAGTTAGAACACTAATTTTTAAATATGGTAATCAAGTTTGACAGTTTGTTCTGGGAAATACAAAAATAAACTTTTATGATTCAAATAAAAGGTTCTTCACTCTATTACAGACAGGGAACATTTCCAGAGACAGAAATATGAATAAAAATTATCTAGTACTTTAAGACATATGCCCTGGGATAGATACTTCATAGATTTATAGATTTTTTTTGAAGTAAGAAAATTCTTTTTATAGTTACCATATTGCTTAAATATTTCAAAAAACGTAACCAGTTTTTATTTAACATAAAATGGAATATTCTTTGGCTTTTGTGTATGAAGGCAGCTTGCAACATGTCCCTAGTTCAAGGTAAAAGCACCTGTTACTGGAATATTTACCTTTGGCTACTTAAAAGAAAAAAAAAAACTAAAAAAATTATTGCAAATTGTTTAATTTCTTTTGAAGTTTAAATTATCTGACTTTTTTCTGTAATTGAGCCTTTCTGTGCTTTTTAAATTCTACTTTTTATTTAGTGTAAGTAAGTTAATTGTTAACTTAACTTGTTTAATGTTAACAGTAGGACTGTTTTTGTTTAAATATTAAGACTCATGTAATTTTGAACTCTCACTTACCTGATTAAAGTAAGCTATACACACATTAAATGATTTTTATATTAAACTTCAAACTGCATATCCACAAAAATAATGTGTTCTAGGTATTGCATAGCCAACTTTCAAGTCCACCCTTAAAACATTTATTAATAGTAATTATTATTTTGATTTGAAATGGGTTATGTATTAAAATCTAACCAAACAGTTATAAAATGACTTTGAAGAAATATAAAAAATAAAACATGTTTTGGTTAAGCCTCTATGTACTGCTTAGTTTTGAAAGTATCAGACCTACCTATATATATGTTGCATTTAAATGATGCTGACTTAAATTTTTTAAATTATCAAATCGAATATATTTATATTCGATTTTATAATTTAAGTACTTTCAGCACACTAGCTGAAACATTTAAAAATTTGAGTACTTTGATATTTTACAGTAATCCTTTTACAATAAGATTATTTTTAACTTCCTCCCATTGTAAAGATTCTGGGAAACAGCAATGAAGAAATTAATCAAAGGCTTCTAGAAAATTATCTTAAATTTTGAAAGGTTTTATATATATATATGTGTCAAATTGAGCATAAATTTCTTTTCAGAATTAAATGTTAAAGTGTTCTCTAAAGCAAGCACAGTATGACCAGTTTATATAATCTGTTTATAAAAGAAAGAATTTAAAGTTAGTTTTTATAGGATCTGACTTTCTAGCGTTTCCAAAATGAGAAGTTATTTTTTTAAGGAACTTAAAAGAAAAAGTTGATTTTTATTTTAGTGGTCTATCTCTAGGAACTCTAAAGCCAAGTCTCATTAAGTACGTCTGTAATAGTATATATATATATGAGCAGTTCCGCTGCTTGTAGCCTGATCCAAATCTGAGCAAAACAAGTAACTTTAATTATCTGTTGAGTTCTTTTTAAATGTCACAGATTTCAGTCTCTGCATGGCTTATATTAAAAAGGAGAAAAAAGACTGGTTTTACCTTTGTCTTGTTCCTTTTGTTTCTTTCCCACCTGCGCAGTTGGAGTCCTGAGTATCATCCGTAGTGTTTTATTCAAATTATTTAAGTCTCTGTCTTTTAGTTCACAGACTAATTTCTGTATGGTTTTCATTTAGTTAATTTAATTGAAAGCCACATAATGAAGTCAAGTAAGTTAGAGATAAAGTTGTCTTTTTGCTGTTAATATCAAATGAGAAGAACAAATTGCTTACCTCACACCTGGAGAATCCGGTTCTGCCTGTTAGCTGCCTATTTAGATTAAAGGAAGGTGGTTTTCTTTGGAGCTAGTTGGTAACAGGAAGTCTTTGTTTAACTGCCTACAATGGAATACTTGGGACAGGCTCTGTAATCCCAATCCTATATTATATATAAAATACATTACTCACAAAAGGGAGGTTTGTAATTAAACAAAGCTTACTTTGTATTCTTTAGGTATGAAAACTTGCTAAATGTATGGAATTTGGAATAAAAAGAAATGGAAAGAACCTTGGATAAAGGTTTTTCATTCAATTTACTTTAAAATGATAGAATTCTGCCCTATTTTAGGGAATCCTCAGGGCTTAACTCATAAAATTGCCAAATTGCAGAACTGCAACAGCCAGAAAAGAGCTCATGTCTTTAAACCTTCCACATTACCTTTCTTTTTACTCTGCCTGCTAATTTTTATTTTAGAATAAGTTTCTTTCATAGTTTTCAAAAAAAAAATTTTTTGCAGTACTACACGTTACACTGTTTGTTATATCAATACAAACAATTCAAAGTTAATTTTTACCAGAGTGAATATTTGTAGTAAAAATCAGGAGTGAAATTCTCTCACATTATTAAGTTTTCTTACCATCCCTTTTTCTCTAGCTGAGTTCTTATGATTTGAGGGTGAGAGGAGGGACATTGCTATAATATCTATGAAAATAACATTTATAGTTATTCTTTAGTTCAGCAGTCCCACCACCTGGAGTCTGTTCCCAGGATAAGAACACCTTCACACACTTATTCCTCACAGCACTCTTAGCAGAAGCAAAACATTGGAAACAATCCAGAATTACTCCAGTGTAGTCCTTCAGTGGCTGAATAAATGATGAAACACCCATATAATGAGCATTTTGCTCTTTAATAAAGAATACAGTAGTAAAGAAGATTTCTTTATACAGCTTCAGAGTAATTTTAGGATTTACTGTTATAAAGTATGGCGATGCACAAGAGGGTGTATAGTATGCTAGCTTTTGAGGAAGAAAGGGAGGGTAGAGATATACACACACAAACACCCCCAACCAGTCAATAGCAGTGAATGTCCGTGGTGCCCAAGTTGTGGCCTTTAAAATATCATTTCCCCCATATACATGTTTATATCATTGGAAAAAAAAAAGACTGGGAGGATGAGTTAAAAACTAATGAAAATAGTTACCTATAGGAGAATAAAAAAATGGAGGGAAAGAGAGATGGAAAATAGTTCTTTTTTTAATTTCATTTTGTTTTTATAGTTTGAATTTAGAACCATACAAGTGTTTAAAAATTAAATCTTAAAATATAAAATAAAACTAACTTTAAAAAACAAAAGCAGCCTGAAACAAATAAACCTAGCTATATATCTAGATGGTGTCGTAACGACAGAGAAAAGAATTATTTCAGGTAATTTTAAACCAATATTTTGACCACATTCTCTTGTGGGATATAACTTTTAGACAAGAATAACCACAAAAAAAGATCTTACTGTGCATTTAGTACTATTATTTTTAACAATAATGTTGGTTTTGTTATGTCGAAGCTCATATGTTGTGGTATGAGCAAATAGTTAATGTCAATGTCATTAGGAACTATAGTTTTCAGCATAAGGAAAAAAGATAAAAATTAGGAAGCTAAGTGAAGACTTGGTAATATTTGATTGAAAATGGAAAAATCAATGTAAGCTTATGATTTAATTTTTCTTTCTTAAAAACTATATTTTTCAGCTTTGTCCACTGAAAGGGTTTAGAAGCAATGGCAAGTCAATAGCAGTAAATGTCCCCAGAGTGCGGTCTTTAAAATACCAGTTCCTACTGAAAGGAACCAGGGCTTCTTGGGGAAACAGGTGATTCCATGTCTGAGCCATTGTTTCTTTCAAAAGAACAAAGAAGCTGTCAAAGACTGTTGTACCAAAAGAACACAGGCATCAACACAAAAGAGACTCCCACTGACCAAAAATGCGTAACTTTGAGCCTCAAAAAGAGCAGTAACTACAATAAATTGAAACACATCAAATATATTTTAAAAATCCACGAGTTCATAATGATGTCTTCCACAAACCAAAGAAAGCAACTTGATTCCCTTTGGAGGTTGATAGGACACCAGTTCATTATTATGAAGATTAGGAAATGAAGGCAAAGGACGACATAATTATCTTGACTTTTCTCTGAGTTATATTTAAATGAGTCACCACGTAATTGATAAAAGCTTTTTAGCAAAAATACAGCTAGTAAATGCAGAAGGAATAAACAACTAGATGAGTCATGGTCTTACAATCTCTCACATAAAAATGCAGTTAAACAGAGGTCATCAATGGTTGCTAAAACCATTAGGTGAAAGGTTAATGGGGAACTTTATTTTGGACAAATCAGGCTGATTCCAGCCTGAATTCACCGATCCATTTAACCATCACTGAAAGTGGTACAACCAGATGTTGTATTGCCTCCGAAGCACTAGTACCATCTATGAAATACACTTGCCAAGAGATTTCTGCTTGAAAGTCATCCAGCCTGTATGTTTAACTACTAGATGTAGGAAATACAGAGCATGTAATGTTAAATGACCTCATAAAGAAGATATCAGCCAAATCCTAAACTTGGGAAATTTATAGAAAAATGACTTGCTTTGGTTTACAAATAGATGCCATGGGAGAAAAAGAAGTGGTGGTAGTGCTGCATGAGTTGGGGGGAGGGTGTTGGCCTTGAGGGTGATATTGATTCAGAAACACTTGAAAGAATAAATTGTAATATGTGTCTGGTTTGGATTTGAATTTGGACATAATGTAAAAAGATGTTGAGAAGGATGAATTTTTTTTTCAGAGCTTAGGTGTGATAGTGGCATTGTGTTTTTTTTAAATTTTGAGGTGAAGTGATATAACTGAGGGGAAGTGGAAGATATACAGATGATCAAGAATGGTATAATACTGAGCGAGAGAGATAAATTAGGACTTTGGGGTTAATAGATGCACTATATATAAAATCTATAAACAGTAAGAACCTACTGTATAGCACAGGGAACATATTCAGTATCTTGTAATATATAATGGCAAAGGATCTGAAAAAAGGATAGATATATATGTATAACTAAATCACTTGACTGTATACCTGAAACATTGTAAGTCAACTATATTTCAATTTTTAAAAAGTTTACACAAAATCAAACAAAAAAGAATGGTATAATATTGATAATTTTTAAAGATAAGTGATAAGAGTTCATTAGGTTTATTCTGTGTATGTATTAAATAATTCATATTTGTTTGAAATAGCTATCAAACCTTGACCAAGACAGTGTTTTACTCAACTTTTTGACCTCTGCCCTCTGATAAGCAAATAGTGGTATTTTGTGGTAATTCTTCTTTTTTTTTTTTAGAATTTGTTTTTTTGTTGTTGTTCCCCGGTTTGTTCCTAGTTGAGTATAATGTTTTCTGTGCCCAGTGCCATGCCAAGTAAATTAGATAGAAGTAGCCTCACCTCTCCAGTAAGTTGAACATTTATGTGGACACATTCACACAGTGGAGATGCAGATGAGCTCAAATAATACAAGCTCAGGATAAATATTTGGGTATTTAAAACATGATAGTTTGTATTTTAAGAAGGAAAGGACATGAGATAACGGTCTTTACATCATGATGCCGTGTGTTTTAAGAAGATAAGGGAGCTCAGTGGAAGATTGCATGCTTAGGATGCACAAGGTCCTGGGTTCAATCCCCAGTACCTCTGTTTAAAAAAAGAAGATAAGGATATAATTACTGGGAAAGTTGGAATTCATGGCTGAGTGCTGTGGAAACTAATCCACTTACTTTTCTATTTGTATCTTTTTTTGTTGGACTATTGATCTAGTGCTTATTTTCTTGACCTGCTTTCCCTTTTACAGGCCAATTCTTATGAACTTATTTTAGCAGTACTAAAGGAAAAATGATGAAATAGAGAGTACAGTACTCTCTAAAACCAGTGTGTTCTGTAATCATAGAGTTAGAACTTTGGAATAAGAAGAACATGGCCAAAATATTTAAGTGGCTGTCTGATTATATATTTGCTATAAAACTACTTCACTTATGTCTCTCTAGGTTGGCAAATAAACAAGATAAGGAAGGGGCTTTAGGAGAAGCTGATGTGATTGAATGTCTGTCTCTGGAAAAACTGGTCAATGAGCACAAGTGCCTATGTCAAATAGTAAGTTTTTGCTCTTTTGCCCTATGGATGATGTTAATTAATTATTAATGAGTTTTGAAAAATCATGTCAGGAGAGTTATTGTGCAATCTTAAGAAAGATGGACAGATTTAATCATTTATTCTGGTTTCAGAAACTGATCATTAGGCTGTAAATCCTAAAAGATGCTTACTGCCATGAATTCCCTCATGTGAGGAGTTAAAACATTCTGCTATTTTTAATAAGGAGGAGTATTTTTCTTCTGTAAGTTCAATTTTAATCTGTCAGTGAGTTTGTTTAAAATTTAACTGGCACCTTCAGCTTCTTGTGTCTTAATAGCTCTCATAGTTCATAGATATAATCCATAAAATATTTCAACTCCTATATGTATACTAATGTAGTGATCATTGCAAAGGTGTGTTTTGTAAGTTAAAGAAGCAGGTGCTTCATATCATTAATTTAATGGCTTAATTTTGATTTTCTAGTAATTATACTTAATGGTTTATGAATAAATTTTTGTAGAGAACTTTTTGTTTTAATCTTTAAGTCAGATAAATTGCTATTTTTCAGGAACCTTGTTCAGCAGTCTTGGGATATGGAAAGAAAATTGACAAGTCCATTAAAAAGGGCCTTTATTGGCTGCTGCATATCATTGCAAGAGACTTTGATGCCTTAACTGAACGCATCCAAAGAGACACAACAGAACAACGAGCTCTTGAGGAACAAGAGAAACGAGAAAGGGCTGAACGAGTACGAAAATTACGGGAAGAAAGGTAAGTAGATTAATTTTGTAGCACAGTGTGTATGAAAAGTAAAAAACACCGCACTTTTATAAACAATTTCTTAGTTTTGCCTATTCAGGTTTGCCTCTTTTTGTATGAAGGAAGACACTAGGTGAATTTTTTTGTTTCTGTAGACCTACACCAGTTTGGGTGATAGGGTTCTGATTTTCCTGGTGGTGTTAAGAGTAGTTAAATTTATTCCTTAGGTATTTATATTTCCCACAGTTTTAAGATTTTTCTCTTTTCTTATACATACCTTCAGTACAGTGGTTCTCAACCCACGGGATGATTTTGCTTCTCAGAGGACATTTGGCAATGTCTAGGAACATTTTTGCTTGTCATGGCTGTGGGGAGGTGGAGTGCAGTTGGCATCTAGCGGGTAGAGGCCAGGGATGATGCTGAACATCCTGTGACGCACAGAACAGTCTCCCACAGCCAGGAATATGTCAGCAGGCTGAGAAACCCTTCATTAGTCTCAGCAAGAATACAAGGGAAGCTGTGAGTGGATCAACCAGATGAACCAAATCTGATCTTCAACACTAGTTTTGTCTGAAAGTAGACTAAGTTGCACTATCTCGGGTTATTAAAACACATTAAAAATTTTTTTAAACTATGTTGCCTGAAAGGAATTTTTAAAATATGTTTAGCAAACTCTAAGTTCAAAAATAAATTTACATAAATTCTACCACAGAATCATTTATAATAATCAATGCTGCAAGAAAGTACTCAGATTTGATTAGAAGTTGAATTTAATACTTAATACCACGATTTCTCTTCCGCTGGATTGTTACATGGCAAAGGAGGAGAGAAGAAACATTTCTAAGTGAGCTCGTAGAAGATCCAAAGTTGTCTTCCATCCACCTACGTGATGTTGGCCTTCCATGTGCTTCTGTAGTTACAGCCTGGGAGGCAAGAAACCACTTGGTACCCTGGTGATGCCGTTGTGAGGTGCTCCTTTACCCTGTCAAGGAAGTCCTCTGGTTACTGATATCTTTCATTTAATTCAGAGATAGGACTTAAAGGAAATAAATATTTGGAGAAAACTCTTCTGTCCTCAAGTGCTCAATATCATGAGCAGGTCAGTCATCTAGGTCACTCTTGATACCAATATGAGGTTCTATTCCTGTGAGAATCTTTGGTTTTCTATTCTAGAGTGTATATTTTCATGATATAAAGCTCAGTACACCCAATCATTCATGTAAGTATACCTTTTATGTATTTATAAAAATAAAATATATGGCCGTACTTTTCTGAAGACTCCTTTGCTTTTCCTCCACTTAACAAAACAAACGAAAAGATCAAAAAAATTGAGTTGGATAAAAGAAATCTAATTAGTCATTTTTTTCCCGGTTTTTACTTTTTCCATAAAGATATTCCAGATCATGTTACCGGCATGCTTTTCTGATACCTGTTCCCCTTTCCTCCTTTCTCCTAGGCATGCCACTTGTGGTCTGATATTCCTTTCCTTTTGAACAGAGACTCCATAATTAGAAGTAAATTGGCATTTAGACAGGTGTAATTAAAAAAATAAACAAAACCTCTACATTGTTAAGTCTAATCCAATAGGTTCAGGTATTTTTGAAAAAACAGTAAAACAAGCTGCTATTGGTTTCTGAAAATAGTATATTAGTATCAAATACCTGAAATTGGTTACTAATAAATGAATAACACTAATAACAATGACTGTCCTATATGTATGTTTATTTACAGAATGCTTTCACATATATGTTATCTGAAATAACCCTATGAAGTAGGTATTTTTATCCGCATTTATGGGAAAGCTGAGGCTTGAGGATCCAGATACATGTCCAAGGTCACGGGGCGGTAAATTGCAGGTCTCTTAATCTTGGCTTCCTAGGTATAGAATGAAAGGATGTATCTTTCCATTGTAAAACTTAATTAATAAATGCCATAGTAATGAACATTGACATTGCTATACTACACTTACAGTCTAGTTGCAAATCTACAATAGTCATGTTTCTGTCTTCAGCTGCTTCTTTTAGTAACTTATTACCTTCCTCTGTCGGGCAACATTAACTATAAATCACAGAGATGATAAAAAATATAGAAGTACTTATTTAATCTGATTGATAAAGGGGAACTTATTTTTATAGCCTTTTCTACTTTTGCAAAGAAGAGTTGTTGTCTAGTTCATATATGATATATATAACTTGACACAGCCCTTAAGAAGAGGATTTATTTATCTGGTTAACATCAGTGAAGAGGGCAACCAGCATTGGTTTGAGAGGGTAACTAATAAATTGATAAATATAAGCCCTTGTCACAAAGAAAAATAGTAATATGCACTGTTGACATTAAGAAATCAGTCATAACAAAAGTCATTTTTGTTAGCATTTCTTTTAAAGTTCAAATGATTAATCTTTACATGGAGATAGAAGCCTTTTACCTGAATAAGGATTTCTGAAAATCTCTCAGTAATTCAAAGCCATGTGTAGATGTTTAAATCACTGAATATAATGGCCTTAAACCTATTGCAAAACTTGTTTAACATGGTTCATCATTTTCTCATAAGGAATTCCACTTTTTTTTTCCTCAAAAAAATAGAGAGCAAAGAGAGCGAGAGCAGGCCGAATTCGATGGCACCAGTGGTCTGGCTGAGTTGGACCCAGAACCGGTTACTGTTAATCCTTTCCAGCCAATAGCATCTGTAATCATTGAGGTATGGATGGTGGCAGATGTGATGTTTATATCTTAAATCTTAATATCAAGTTGGAATTTGAGAAAGGAGGCAGGGAAATAGAAATATTTTCTAAAAGAAATTAAATGGGAGAGATGGGCTAAACATTTGCTGCTTTTTCTTCCTCTTCATATTTACCTCCTGATCTTGTATAAAAAGGGAAGATGATTTCAGAATTAACTGAGAATGAAAATGAGGATTGAATGTAGCAACTGTCATAGTTACTGTTCTATAAATCTTTTCTTGTCACTTATTTCATATGACAGTAATATGTTTACTCTTATTTACATTGTCTTTTCCCTTTATTGCTGTTATTATCCCTTTACAGTAATATTTAGACGATTATGATGAATTAGAGTACATAAATGATTTTCTAATTATTTTTCCAGGATACTTACTGTTTGAAACTATAATAAATTCTTTTATATCTGAATATCATTTATTTTCATTTTAAATATCAGAATAAGTAGTTTACCAAAATTAATTTGTAGATTTTAATCATGAAGAAATTAAGGGGTTGTGTGTGCACGTGTGTGTGTGTCTGTCTGTCTGTCTGTCTGTGTATCTGTGTCTTTGTTTTCATTTTCTCCTGGTGTCCGGAGTTTGCATTGGTCCTGCCTTCCTCGCCCTCAGCAGCCATGCCTCCTCAGCAGCAGAGCTTCCTAAACCTCCTCTCCATTCACTCAGAGCTTAATGTGGCAGCTGGCTTGCTGGACCCACCTCTGTGTTTTCTATTCCTCTTCCCCTATCACTGCCTCCTTCTACACAGGTATTCATCTAGAAAGATGGATGATTATTTCTTCCTTGGGGCTGCTGCTGAGGAGGGAGGCAGCTCCACAGGTAAGAAGACAATTGGATAGTTTTTGATATTGCTTTATTTTGCAGAATACTTGGAAATATGAGATATTTGGTGTTAAGTTGCTTAGATAGCAGAAGGCTAATTGTATTTAATCTTTTTATTAACTCCATTGCATTTTCCTTAAGTATGTACTTTTCTAAGTAAAGTAGACTTAATAGCTTGAGCTATTGTTTTGTCTTCATCCTATTAAATATTACGTTTGTCAAGTTTGTCTTATGGTCTTTGAAAAATATTGATAGAGAAAAGAGAAATCAGGTTTGATTTTTCACTTTGCGACACTAATTTACTCTATGTGTGTGATAAAGCTTTCCTTGTAAATAATGACCAATTATTTTATAGTACCATAGCTATAATTTCGTAGAAGGCCTTAGCACTTCTACCAACATTGTATTTTTCACATTATAAAGATAAGAACAATACTGACATACAACATAGAATATCTCATATTGAAGTCCCTGAGTTAATTGGTGGCATAGGGAAAGGGCAATTATTATACTTATAAACTATAGTAATTTTAAGAAGGCCGTCAGTAAAGAAATGAAACAAATGAAAATAAATTATCCATAGTCTCCATTTTACCAGGCAAGTTTTCTTTTTTCCATAAAACTTCTCCTTTGAAATGTTTGCATTTTAGAGAAGCACCTCATTCCTTTGATTTTACCACAGATAATAAAAATGATGAAGTATTGGTTCCAGAACAGACAGATCAATGAAACAAATAGTAACTAAATTAATACAAACACTTAGTATAAGATAAAGGTGGCATTTCAAATCTGAGAGAAAAGAATGTTGGAACAGCTGAACAATCAAAAAGTAAAATTATTGAACACTGCTTACCAAATTAAATTTCAGAATACTTAAATGTATTAAAAAAAGAAGCCTTAAAAATACTAGCACATAGTATAGTTAAACATTTGTACATCCTTGGAGGAGGAGAAACTTTCAAAATTGGACAATCAAGCCACAAGTCATTAAGTAAAAAACAGGGAGATCTTACATTTAGTTTTTAAAGAGGTGTTCTACAAAGTTAAAGACAAGAAAACCCAAACAAATCCTGATGAAAAATATTTGAGACGCATGCAACAACAACAAAAAAAAGAAACTGTAAAAATATTACTGTGTAAATAATGAGAATCTAATAGAAAAATGTGTATTGGGTTATCATGGATAGCTCCTTAAAGAAAAAAAAAGAATGGCAATAAGGGTATTTAATAGCTTATCTTCAGTAGTGATATCAAGAGTAAATCAAATTCAATCAGCATTAGGTAAAAAATATTTATTAGTTTGGTGGTGATATGAAAGACTGGTAGTGATATATAACATTTTAAAGTTATAGGGAGGGAGGAAGGTATAGCTTAGTGCTAGAGTGTCTACCTTGCATGCATGAGATTCTGGGTCCAATCCCTAGTACCTCCATTAAAGAAAAAAAAAAAACTAATTACCCCCTCCCCCATGCAACAAAAGTGAAAAGAAAACCCTGAATAAATTCTTTAAAAAAAAAGTTGTGGAGAAATGTCACTCTCTTAATCCTTTGCCTGTAATTTGACCTTAGTTTTTCTGAAGAAAAGTTTGTAGTATGTCATATTTTAAAATGTGCTTACCCATCGATCCAAAAGCTCAACTGTTAGGAATTTATTTCTAAAGATCTAATTCAATAATTATAATTCTTACAATAGTGAAAAACTGATAATCATGTTTTTGTTCATTGATTGGGGATTCGTAAAATAAGTTATGATAGAACTATTCAAAATGATAATGAAATTGATGAAAGTAATAATAGCTAACACATACAGCATTATATAATACTTTCCTACCTAACAGTTTGCTATGTGTGTGTCAGCACTATTCTAAGTACTTCATATATTCATTGACAAAGAAAGAAATGTATATTCTTAGTTCTTTTTTGTTTAAAAAATACATGAATATATAGAGGAGACAATCGATCACATTTATGTGTGTCTGTGGGGGTGTCTGTCTGTATGTGTGCTGGGTAAGCAAAGAAGAGCACCTCTTAGTAACTACACACACCAGAGAGCGGTTATCTCTAGATTGGGGAATTACTGGTAATACTTATTTTCTTCCTCTGTACTATCTTTGTTTACTGAATGTTTGGTAAATAGAGTGTTTTAATGATAGATTCAACAAATAATTTTTTGTTTTTGTTTTCCTTTTTCAGTTTTATTAGGTAGAATTATTACACTTTGACTGCACAGATACATTATATTGCATGTAAATACATATATACAATATACTGCATTTTTTTCTTTACATATATGTGCTGATCATTGTTTCTAAGAACAGATTAGAGCTTAAGCTTTTTAAACTTACATGCTTATCAAAGTAATAAAGCCAACCACAAAATAAGAATCAACAGAATGTGGTAATCCAATCATAAAGGACAGTCAAATATGGCTTACACATATTCAAGAAATCAATCATTCTTAGTTATAAACAATAAATAGTTCATGTCATCATCATCATCATCATTATTATTTTTAGATTCCACACATAAGTGTTTTCATATGGTATTTTTCTTTCTCTTTCCAGCCCACTTCACTTAAAATGACAATCTTTAGGTCCATCTGTGTTGCTGCAAATAACAAATAATTTTTTCATAGAAATATTACAATGCCCTGAAGTTACAGAGTGCTCTTGGATTATTTGATTTATCCCTTAAAACTGTCTTACATACAACTGTTATATTAAAAATGATTTATTTCATTTTTGTTAGAATGAAAAAAAACTTGAAAGAGAGAAAAAGAGGCAAAATATGGAGAAAGACAGTGATGGCTGTGCTCTGAAACACAAAATGGAGCATGAGCAAGAAGAGACACAGAGCCAGATCAGTGACAGTAGCCAAAAAAACAATGAGTTTGGAATAGTAGAAAATTATAAGGAGACATTAACACAGCAGTTGGAGAATGAAGATGAGACAGATCAGCGATCATCAGAATCAGGTGATAAATCTAGTTGTTAAAAAATATGTATATGTAATCATTTATTTATTGTAAAGTTTTATATGTTAATATATAACATATAAATAACAAATGAACTATATATATAAAACTTAAAAAATACTTTTCATTTGTCATGATTATTTTCATAAAAAATGCATTTTATCTCCAAATGTGATATGTATCATAGTTTTCTTATGAATTTTAATTAATTATTAGTCAATTTGCTAACTTACATTTTTATTCATAGTCATTTGTAAGAAAAGAATTTCAAATTTCAACAGAAAATTCTGTTTTTAATTGTACTTTTTAAAATTTGGAATATTGCATAGCCCCAGGAATCCTTGGAATGTATTTGAAACCTTTAAGGCTTTTGGAGGGTTTGTTTTGTTTTGTTTTTCTTAATTCTCATAATGTAACAATCATCATCATTTCCTTTATTTACTTGTTATTTCTGTAGGATGCAGACATAATTAGCTGAATATTTTAAAAGCTTTATCAAATAGTCATTTTCCTCTTAATATTACATAGAATTTTCAATTCATAATTGCTTTTCGTTTTCTAAGTGGTTATGTGATTTAACAGGAAGTTCAGGTCTTTTGGTGTCATAAAGAGATAACCTTCGTTTGGACTCAGACAATCTGGGATAGCAACCTGACTTTCTCATCTACTGGATAAATGTTTTTATATAGCATTCTTCAGTTCTAGTGTCCTCACCTCTAAAATGGCATTGTGCCATCTTTTTTTAGCAGGCTTGTAGGTTTACTTATAATAAAAATAACCCTACAGTGTTCCTAGCACAGGGCCTGACACGTGGGAGATACTCAGTAATCATCTCTACATCAGCAGTATGGTTCCATGCTATGTAAGAATTTTTGTACAGTATCAGAGTTATTGAAAATAAGATCTCAGTCCCTGAGGTGCAGATTAGCTAACGTGGATATTTTGCAGTATAAAAATAATCAGATTTGAAAGTTATGTTTTTTTGTAATTTGGGGAGTTAGGGTAGCAACATTTGTACCCATATAGCTCTGTCAACAGAGTAAAACAAAAAGTAGACTTAAAGTGTCCTTGCAATATATTGGAAGAATTCTTTCTAACACTAATGTGTTGGTAAAGAGCAAAATGACTTGATAGATGATGTGAACATATAGCATAGGAAGATCTAAGTCAATTGTATAACTGTAATAGTAATAATTATAATGTATTTTATACTTTAAAGCATAGTTTCAAAAGCTTTATATTATTTAACACAGCATTATGTTATTCAGCATAGCAATCCTAGGATATATTATTCTCATTATATGGAACAGGAAACCAGGGACTTGGAGAGGTTGAGTAATTTAAGATCATATGTCTCATCTGTGGCTGTGCTGAGACACGCTCCCTTCAACTTTAGATCAGCTTCTCCATATCCTATGCTCTTCCATGACCCTGTACTACTGCCCATCCTCAAGTCCGTGTGGTTCTGGAATCTCTCTTTCCTTTCTCCCAGCTGTAAAGCCTACAGCTTTAATTGTAAAAACATGTCTCTGTTTCTATCTGGAGTGAAATGTCTCAAATGACAGTAATTTATTTAGAAAAATAGTGTTTTTCTAAATATGTTTGTATTTCTCATTGCTTTGTAGGTTTCATAGATTTGACTGTTCCTCACGTTTCCCAGATAATTCCCATTTTAGAAAATGTATAACATATGTATACAAATTTAGCAGTTTGGGATTTTCAACTGAAATATTTCAGTGACTTTGATGTTTGGTTGTTTAACTACTATGCCATCCTGGTTTACATTGTTAATGTTCATACGTTAACGATATAGATGCACTTAAAATGTTCTTATGTGCTTAAATGAGAATCTGTAGATAGTTATTTAAAAAAAAATACAAATTCAGTTCTTAAGGTCTAATAATGTGGGTGTGGTTATAATATTTGTATTGAGCATATCTTGTTTGGGGGTTATTTTAATGGATAATGTATTTAGATTTGATTGGGGTCTTTTTTCATATTTCAAAGGATTATTTTTGGACTTAATACCTAGAATCATTCTATATATCCTACTGAGACAAATCAACACTTCTTTTTCCCCAGGCCATTCTTAGTTTCATGGAAATCCCTGCAATTAGATAGTTCCATTTACTTAATATGACATTTGGGGGAAAATGTTTCTTTTGGAAATATGAACCTTTTTTTATTCTGAATCATCTCTCATAGAATGTGCCATTTGTATCATATTTATTAATCATTCATTCAATAAGCAATCACTTAAAAATTATTCTAAGTAAAAGCAAGTTCACGTTTCATTATTGGTAACAATTTTTAAGTTGAATATATAGTCCTATGGTAATAATAATAGCAATAGCCTAATAATCCTATTCTTTATTTTTTGTTATAGAAGCTTACATTTTCCCAAAGGCATAACGTTCCTTGTTCATATTCTTACAGATAACAGTAGAAAGAAAACTAAGAAACTAAGAATGAAGAGGAGCCACCGTGTAGAACCTGTTAATACAGATGACTCTGCTCCTAAGAGCCCAACACCACCCCCACCTCCTCCTCCTGGTGAGTAAATTGATATTGATACTAAATTTAGAAATAGTGCTGTAAACAATATTAGAAGAAAAAGAAATTTTGTAGCTTTTATTCAGTATATGCATTATCTTACAAATTTGTGAAAGGGGTAGAATTCTTTGCTCCATCTACTTTGTTCAGAATTTATCAACTTAATTATTGACTGCTTTTTTTAGTAAGAAAATAATGTTTTATGAAGGTATAAAAACAAGTAAAAATTTTAAAAATTAGTAAAAATTAATAATAAACCTTTACCTGAGGACTTCCTGTAATGGATTCAAGTCCTATTTGAAATATCAGTACCCAGCTTGCTAAAAGGAATTTGTTTAATGAATGGATGGCTAATAAGAGTTTTTAAAAAAATGAATCTTTCATCCTTAAAGTTGACATTTGAAACCAACATGTGTCTTATTTCCAGTATATTTCCATTGTACATACTGACCTTCTTAGCTATTCATGAGGATTAAATGGGATATTGCATATAAAGACATACTAACTGCACAATAATTTTGAGTAATTTTTTAGCATTAGGCATAGTAGCTCACATACTCAAATATCTAAACGTATATGTTTATAGTGTCTTTTTAGCCCTGCCAGAAGGCTTTGGATGGTAACGTTATCAACTGAGAATTATTTTAAGACTCATTGCTAGTATTACATTTAATAAGCATACATTTCTTTTAACCTCTGCTAGGAGTTAGAATAGGAGCCCAAGGTTATTTATGGTGGTGATGCAGATGCTTATATTTTTAACTAAAGGTAAATAAAAACTTAAAACAGATATTACCAACCTACAATTACATTTTTAAACAGAAGCCATTTCAAACAGGTGTATGGTTACTCAATACCATATTATTCAGTAATATGTGAACTGACATAGAAGTTAAATACATTCCTGTGAGAGAGGGATCCTCTCAGCAGACCTAAAGAGACATTGTTTAACAATGTTTTTAAATGTTTTTCTTTTCCTTTAGTTGGCTGGGGAACCCCCAAAGTCACTAGACTTCCAAAACTTGAGCCTCTTGGTGAAACACGTCATAATGGTAATGCAAAGGATCAGTTTTCAAGTATCTATACGTATCACAGTCACTTTTCTTTACCTCATTACTTCAACAAGCTTTTACTTTTGGAAGCCTTTCAATTCCACAGCCTTTTTCACTATACTTCACTTTTTTTCATTTATTTAATTTTTTTTTATTTTTAAGTGCCCTTTGCCTCGATATAATTTGATCTGATGTTTACCTTAGAATACAGAAGTAGATAATCGTAGCTCGTGTTTATCCATTAGATGTTAATGTAAATAGTTATGAAAAGGGAAAGATTTTAAAGCAACTTAAATTAGATATGAGGCATTACAATTATACGTAATAGTTTTAAAAAGAAACTTCATTGTCCTGTATGTGTCTAATATCCTCAATGATAATCTCACGTAATTGTTTTTTCTCTGCTTCTAATGACACAGCTGCTGAATATTAAAATGAAGCAAAGAGTATCACAGTTTGTAAAATCAGAGACCAAATCAGTAAACCAAATAAAGTTCAGCTAACTGGAAAGGAAGTTACGAAAGGGTTCACTGACTCAAGGAAACAGTCTTTTTGGATGAAATTAACATAAGATTTAGTACAGCCAGTATAGGGCATAAGAACTCCAACTGGAAAACTAGAGAAAAGACAGTTGGGAGTAGAGAACTGCCTAATACAACAGGCACAAGTTCTGATTTCAGACAATCAGCCCAGATTCTTTCAATAAAATATTTGTAGAATGCAAAAGGATAAATAAATAAACAAGTAAACAAATAAAATATATAATAACTTAATAAACTTTTTTATCAAGAATATCCAGTTTTCTTCTTGATAGCTCTGTTTACCTAATCTAGACCTTAGCTTTCTAAGAAGACACATTTACTAGGAAAAAAAATTCAGAAGTTTAATCTTTAGAAAAGTGTTACCAAACAATCTGAAATTATATTAAACTGTATAAAATATTTCTATTCAAAAAGTATATCAATATAAATGTGCTGTTTGCTTTCAGTTTTCTGAATACTATGTTAATAATGAAATATTTCTTCTTAATCATTACTGAAAATTGTTTTTTATTACATTATCTGTTTAAATATTTACTGTTTTAGAAACAATTACATTATATATGTGTATATGTGTATATGTAAGCATACATGTAATAAAGATATTAATTTCATATATAACAGATATTATTTTTTCTCTTACTGAATTAGGCATCCAACAAACAATTATTTTGTATTTGATACCACCCAAAACATTTGTGATGCCAAGATAAATGAAACGTAAATTCTGCATTTCCAGGGATCTTAGTCTGATAGAAAAGATAATACTTCAGCTTTCTGTAGTATATATGACAATTTACACTATGGAGGAATAGGTTCTATGGTGTAAAATTGGAGTACTGTGCATAGACTGCCTAGGCAGTGGAAGTGGTATTAGACCTGTATCTTTGAAGAATACAGAAAGTCAGGAAGCAGAAGAAACAGACTGTTCAAAGGTAGAGAGTTGGGAAAGAATATTGCTTATTTGAAAAACAGAAGTCACTCGTGACTAGAGCTTAGGTTCATGTGGGTAGAGTGGGTAAAAAAGAGGAAATTCAAAGTTACTGGGAGTGTTGAAACTGAAATTATGACTTATAGCCAGATTGTTTAGGGCCTCACATATATGTTGAGATGTCTGGACTTGCTATAATTTTACGTGAGACACAACACGTTTTTAGCAGGGAAATAGTATTACTAGATTTATTGTTTAGGAAAATAATTTTTGTCACAATGTAAAGTACAGGCTTAATTGTGGCCACACCCTGAAGTAAGCGTCCCATTTGGAAGCTGTTGGAGTAGTCAGGGTGAGAAGTGAGAAATAGGAATTGGAATTGAAAATAAAAATGTATACAAGAAATACTTTCACATAACCAACTCGACAGGTAATGTGAGTGCCTGTAATAGCCAAATAATCCTAATTCATTCCTCCTATCCCTTGTTTTATTGCTATCATCCGTTTTATTTATATGTAGGCATACGTAATCAAATACATTGTTGCTATTAGTATTTTGAACAGATTGTTATCTGTTAGATCAATTAAGAATAAGAAAAATAAGTTTTCATTTTATCTTTACGTATTTCTTTGATGTAAAAGTGTTTTTTCCCTCTGGCTTCTTTCAGGGTTTTTTCTTTTTCCTGTAATTTGAAAATGATATATTATACCTAGATGTAGTTTTGGGGTCATTAATCCTGCACAGTGTTCTCAGAGTTTCTTGGACCTGTGGTTTGGTGTTTGACATTAATTTGGGGAAATTCTGAGTCATTATTACTTCAGATATTGCTTCTGTTCCTTTCTCTCTTCTCCTCGTATTCCCATTACACGTGTATTACACCTTTTGTGGTTGCACAGCTCTTAGATGTTCTCTCTCTTTTTTTTTTTCAGTTTTATGTTTTTAGTTTTCAAGGATTCTGTTGATATATCCTCTTATCTTAGAAGTTCTTTTCTCAGCCATGTGCAGTCTACTAATAAACCCATCAAATGCATTCTTTATTTCTGTTACAGTGTTTGTTTGTTTGTTTGTTTGTTTCTCTAGCATTTCTTTTTTGTTCTTTCTTAGGATTTCTGTGTCTCTGCTTACACTGCCCATCTGTTTTTGCATGCGGTCTACTTTAACCATTAAAGCCCTTAGCTTATTACTCATAGTTGTTTTTAATTCCTGGCCTGATGATTCCAATATCCCTGCCAAGTCTTGTTCTGATGCTTGTTCTGTCGCTTCCAACTGTGGTTTTTGTCTTTTGGAATTTTTTCTTGATAGTCCAGCATGATGTACTAGGTAAAAGGAACTGCTGTAAATAGGCCCTTAGTAATAATACCGTGGTGATGTGGGGTGACGGGGAAGTGTTCTATATTCCTGTGATTAGGTCTCAGGTCTTTCAGTGAGCCTGTGCTTCTGGAATTTAACTTCACAAGAGTTTCTCAAGTTTTTTTCCCCCTCGTTAGGTAGGACAGAATCCCTCGAGCCAAGTGGAATTGGTCATTTCCCTTCTTGGGTCAGTTAGGTTCTGATAACACCCCAGCAGGTTAGGTTCTGATTAACTAGTTTTCTCTGAGCGCAGGCCTTGTTGAGAAGAACAAAGTAGCTGCTGGTAGCGTCAGTTTGCAATGTTCTGCTTTAGGTATGTGTCATATGGGAGCCTGGAAACTGCAATAAACATGATTATATTAATATATTATAATATTTTATTTTATATATATATAAAAATAAAAAGATGAGCAAAGTACTTTGCAGTATTCATAACGGGAGCTTTTCCCCTGCTCTGCCAGAAGCAGGAGGGAGTTTTTCTCCAGTATTTACTGTGGGAATTTGTTCAGGCTTCTGGAGGTGACTCTCACAATATTATGGTGGGGGGGGTCATAAGACTGAAGTTCCCTGGAGTCGTTAACTCTTGGATTTATCCACACTAAGTGTCCAGCAGCTCATCACTCACCATTCTGATTTTCTTACCTCGCCACCTGTTCCTTCAGCAATTTCCATTCATGAATGTCTGCTCTGGTAAACTGTCTGTCTCTTGAATATCCAGGTCAATGGTTTTTGTGACCTCCCCTCTCTTACAGATTTCAGAAAAATTGGTGATTTTTCAGTCTATTAAGCTATTTACTTCTTGTTAGTATGGAGTGACTTACAAGCTCCTTAAATGCTGTTATGACTTTGCTAAATTAACATTTATTACCATCCAGCATCCAGCTACATGCTGGATGGTAAGCCTTGGTTTAAAAAGACCACAAGAGAGATCAAAATAGTGAAATTACTCACAGTTCCTGGAGGAAGTACATGGCATGCTTCAGGGGTTCCACAGTGGGAGCTGGGAGATCAAGGCAAGGTGCAGGCAGAGAGAGCTGCAGGACCTGGGCCACATGCCTTTATTAGGGTCTGTGGGTGGAGTGCTTTGGGATTCCCAGGCTAGGGCCAGATTGGTCAGTTCAAACCCCAAACAGCAGAGTTTTGGTAAGCTCTTCTGGGGTCTTTTCTAAGGGAAGACAAGGGAGACAGTTGATCTGGAGGGCCACCAGGAAGTTATATCAGGGACTAAACATTTACTTGTGATTCTGCAGGCTGTTTTCTAGGGTGTGTTTTTGCATGAGGTGCTGGTATCTATTTAAAGCCTCCACTGGCCTGGTGGCCAGATGAAATAGATGCTGAGGCAATGACACCAAGCAGTAGTTTAGCTGAACTCTGGTACATGCAGAACTGGAAATAGGCCCCTAAATACATTTTTAATATATTTATTTCAGTGATCCTGCACCCGTGCTTCTAGAATAATTTCAAGGTAGTAGGTCAGAAAATAATTACTTATTGAAGGTTTCCATATGCTATTAAATTTATAGACCAATTTATGATAATTAAGGGATACAAACTTATTATGAAGTACAAATTAAGACTTTTTTGGTATCAAATATGTCCTAAATCACTGAGCTATATTGAAGCATCATTGTAAAAGATTCCTACTTACCAGAATACTAACATAATTAATTTTTCTCCCCACATTCCTAGAAGTAATAGCCTTTGGATAAGAATGCAGATTGTACAAATACTGATTTTTATCAGGGCTTTGGCAACAGGTTCCATAAATTTTGAATGTTTGTTTTATTCTAATATGAACATGTGATTGGAAAAAGTAACAATAATATATACATTAGATACAGCTTTTATTAAATCAAGTGGAGATTAATTTATAACCTAGAGTTGGGAATTTGCCCTACTGATTGTGTTTTGAATTTACTCAAGTCTTCTTTGATTCTGACTTTTTCCCCCTTATTCTCTCCGCTCATTGCTTCACCTGTAAAATCAAAGTGTTTTACTCATTAAATGTGTTGGCTGGAAATTAATGAATTGTGTCAAAAATCTTGATGTAATGTAACAGTTTTGCATTTTTGGTCTCCCTTCTTTACATAGATTTCTATGGAAAGCCACTCCCTCCCCTGGTTGTGCGACAGAGACCTAACAGTGATGCTCACGACATCATCTCGTAACCAGGTCATACGGTCGCACTCTCTTAATATTGGCCGCCTGAACTGGAGGACCTTCTTTCTCCAAGGAGAAAATCCCTGAACATTGATGACTGGGGCAGGACACCCTTAGCAGTTTCAGTGAGCCAAAGACCTGACTGATCTGATAATTACTTTTCCATGTTCTTCATACTTTTTTTTGTTTGTTTTGTTTTTGTTTTGTTTTTTAAAGGGGAAGCAAAATGAGCAGCAAATGGGGCGAGCAAGAGTTGGTAATGACTCTGGTTTATACATCCCACTCATGGGCATATTCCTGAAGGGAAACCTCTTCAGAAAAAGAGCCAGTGGGCTCTATACCCTTTCTTTACTCTTTATTTAATTGTCTTTATTTCTCCATCTTTAACATTTGTAAGACATGTACATGGAAAGGGAACTCTTGGGAATTTATAAGCTAAATTTTTAACTTTTTATATTTTTCTAAAACTTTTAAGGATTTTAATTACTATGACATTGTGCACTTTTCTACAGATGCTATGTTTAAATTGTGTTTGGAAAATGGAGTTGATTTACTTGACAAACACGAAACTATACAAACAGGATATATTTATATGGTTTGAGGTATGTTTTTGAAGTATACATCCTAATTTGACCTAATTTTAAAATATCTTTTAAAATTAGATTCTCATATTTTTATTCTACCAAATTGTTATTTGACAGCACTAATTAATTAATTTTTGCTGTTATTTGTTTTCTTTGGTAATGCTCCCAATAAATGAAAGAGACTTGCAAAATACCTTTTGACTTAAATGCTTTTTAAGTTAATAAAAATGTTTTATGAAATATCATTAAAAGCCCCAATAAAACACCTCTTTCAAAGGTTAGACCTTTTCAGAGATCAAGGTGCTACTTGTCACTCCCTTGTTCTATCAGAAGCTGCAGTGACTCTTTAAGGTTATTCTAATTCTTTTGTGCCTTGAAATTCAAGGCAAAAAGACCAGAAAAGCTACTGTAGCCCAGAAATTTGTATTTTTTAACTGGGAAATGCTTAGATAGTAAAGAAATAACAATAAAAATGTTGGTTTAAATTACATCTATAAAGAAATAATTTCAAAATAATTTCTCAATTTAAAGTAATAGTACTTCTGTTGCACTGAAGAATGGCATCTGTAGTATTCTGTCTTCTGGCATTTAGACAAGCTTTTAGATACATATTTTGAGTAACAGATTCATAATGGTCCATTTAATTAGAAGCAAACCTTTACTCAAGGTGAAAATAACATAAACAGTATGAATTATAATTACCCTGTTAAAATTAGTCAGTTTGGCAAATTGTACTGACAACAGACATATACTGGTATCTGAAAATAACATGATTAAGTATGCTTAAGGCAGTTTAATATGATTATTTACTTGTAAAATTTTTTTTTAGAATATTGCATTTTATTCACATTTTCTAACTCATTGAACTTTCATTAATCAGATTATTTATTACTCTAAGTCAGCATCATATGCAATTTTTGGAGTTTTGTACGTGAGACTTACCTTCCACACTGGATAAAAGCATTCTATTTCAGATACAGAAGTCCTAACAAGCTGAATTTGTAAGGAAAAGCAACCCAAGAAGACAGTATGTAAATTCTGAGGTGGATTTTAGAGAACAAACTTGTATATCTTCTTGGTTCCTTTTTTGTAAAATTTATATTTATTCATTTTTTAAAAACTAAACTCATGCTTTTGCCATTTTTTAATATTCATCTAGTATGAGATAAATATGTTTTAAGTTTTTGTTTCCTACCAGTGATTACTATAATGTATAATAATGTATGAGTCCATTTAACAAAAATAAATAAAAATCATTTTGAAGATCTTGAATTTAAATATATGATAAAATGGAATAAATGTTTTATATATCTCTCAAAACTTAATTTGTATTCTTAAAGCATTCTAAAAATATTTTTAAAGTTTTGTAAATCCAGGTGGCTTTTAACAAGTATAAATGCCTATTTTGTTATATGCTGCATTTTTATTCTTAATTATTATGAATTATGACATTTTCACACAATAAAAATAATTTATATCAGTATGCTGCTTTGCTTTTCATTTGATAAACTTAAATGGTTTCTTTTTGGTAATTAGTGCCAAATGAAGGAGCAGAATTCATCTAATTTGTGAATTTACCTGTGAATAGCCCAGAGACATTCAACTATGGAATATGCCATTGTATTTGCAGCTGATCTGTTAACCACACGTCCTTTTACTGACAATATTTTATTTCATTTGATACTTGGTTCTGTATGCTACGCTATTCACATTACTCATTTTCTTCCATTCCACACTAAAGAAATACTTTATGCTTCCAGATGGCAAAAGCTTATCAGAGCTTAGGGGCAGGGCGTGTTTAGTGGTAGAGTGCATGCCTAGCAAGCACAAGATCCTGGGTTCAATTCCCAGTACTGCCATTTAAATAAATAAATAAAACCTAATCTCTACCCCACCCAAAAGTGAAACTGCTTATACAAATAAAGCTGGAGCTTATAAATTTTGTTATCCTTGCCTTTGCTACCTAAGTTTTTCGCTAACTGGAATACACTTTGCAGTTGAGATTCTGCTAATACTAACCTTCTAATTTATCAAGAAATACATTCCAGCTGATAATAAATTCATATACTTCAAAACTTACATTTAAGTATGGTAAGAACTATCAAAATAGCAATAATCCATTGTCTTTGTGGAGGCATAATAAGAGAAGTCTGGTTTTTTGAGAAAAAAGTTATCAGATATGAATTTTCTTTAATGAAATATAATTTAATATTTAAATTATATTTAATTTAATAATTAAATATTTAAATTAATTTAATAAATATAATTTAATATTTAATTATAAATTAAAGGGAAAATATGAAGAAAATAATTTGCTAATTTAGAGCATGAGTTGTAAGTTCCTTTTTTGTGCTGATGAGGAAACAGTATGACCTAGGTAAATGAATCAGTGGTCTCCAAATTTGATACATCCTTTTCAGTACATATTTTTAGTATACATTAAATATAAAGTTACTGTATTAGTTTGCTAGTGCTGCTATAACAAAGTACCACAAACTGGGTGGTTTAAACAACAGAAATTTATTTTCTCAGTTCTGAAGCCTGAAAGTCCAAGATCAAGGTGTTGGCAGGCCTTGTGGGAAACCTCTCTCCTTGGCTTACAAGTGGCCTCCTTCTCCCTGTGTGCTCACATGGTCTTTGCTCTGTGTGCATTTGTTGCTAGCTAATGTCTCAGGGTATCCAAATTTCCTTTTAATAAAGACACCAGTTAGATTGGATTAGGACCCACCCTAAACAACTTTTAATCACCTCTGGAAAGGCCCTGTTTCCAAATACAGCCAAGCTCTGAGGTACAGGGGAGGGAGGTGGTGGTGGCGGAGGGGTGGGGAGGGTG